GGAATATGTAATGGGCAATTTTTAGTCAGAATGCAGATTGTTTACATTTGAAAGGTGAAAGGTCAGTTGATTACTTATTTAACTTTTCCATATAAATATATGAAGAAATATTGCTCACAATTTACCTCCTCACCCCAGTGCACACATAATTAGTCAGTGGTTGCACTTTTGCCCGTTTTTTCCTCTTTCACTTGATGACAATGTAGAAAAAATATAAAGACCATGCCCTGAAGTTAGGCACCAGGGTTTCATTCCTGGCTCTGCTACTTTTGGGGCAAGTCTGTCTTTAGATAAATTGAGCTCTGAGGCTTGGTTTCCTCATTGGTAAAACGGAATCAATGATAATCACCTTGCAGAATTGTTAGTAATTAAATACTTAGCACATAGTTGGCACAATAGGAGCTCAAATAAATGTTAGCTGCTTGTTTTCTGATTATGGTTATTATTATTCTTTCTTTACCGTTTACATGAAACTAACTGTTTTCCTCTGGAGTATTCTTTGCTTCATGAACTTGTAAGGAGCACTTGCTATGTGCTAGTTACAGTTCTAAGAGTTTAACCTGAATTAATTCATGTAACCTTCACACCCTGTTTACAGATGAAGAAATTGAAGCATACAGAGATTAATTTTCCCAAAGTCATACAGCAATTTTGAGGCACAAGTAGGATTAAAATCCTGTCTAGTTTGAGAGACTGCACTCTTCACTAATCATATACTGCCTCTCTGTGCAAGTAGAAGAGGATTTCTAGGTATTCCTATTAAATTATTAGCATGGCTTTCTTGCAGAACTTTGCTCTCTAGGTGAAAGCCTTCTCTAGAAGCAGGTAGTTTCGGTAGTTGAATTGATTTTTGCTGCACTTTTGACTTCAGACCTATAATTTATGGGAAGGCCTTTTATAGATGAGTGGTTTGGGAATTGGTCATATTTGACTTTATCTACTGAATACTATGTATCATATATGGAAACTATGATTTCCTGGATTTAAACTAGCTCTTCTGAGTTTCAGATGAAGTTAAACTGTTAATCCTATGGTAAACACACGAGAATCAACATACAGAGCTTTTAGTGAGAATTATGGGTGACCATTATAGTGTTTTGATTTTTAAAACATTGCCTTTTGTAAGCTATATTCATCAACTCCTGAGATAATTAGAAAATTAACTGATTTAAAAATATAAAGGCTTTGGTGTCCTAGAGTTCAGACAATTTGAAACTTAAGGGTGAGAAGATAATTCAGAATATTAGAAATAATAAAATGGATCTTAATTTTTTGCTTTTAAAGATATCACTTATCCATTAAAATTATTTCTATTTTGAAATTGTTAGGACTTAGTTAACTAGAAAACCATTTTCCATGTTTATTGTTTTTCTTGAGGGAAAAATATGAGGAATTTCTGAACTTTATGGTTATTATAATTTTTACTAGATAGCCTCTCTGAGTCCCTATTCTTCAATCACAATAGATTTTGTAAGTTCAGTGGTAAAATATACTCAACTACTTATGTGATGCTTGGCTACATTCAAAGTATTTGTCTGATTTTTCCCCCCCAGCTAGATAAGCTGTTATTTTAAATATGATTCTTAAAAAATTGCAAACATGTGCTAGATTTAAGTATTAAGTAACATATATTGATAACCAGATTTTTCATTTTGGAAAAATGAGCAAGCAAGTACTTTTTACTCTCCAGATTATGGCAGTATTTCTAACTTTGGTAATCTTTGGTACAAATGTAATTAGCTTTCTATTACACGGGACAGCATTTCTCTCCTCTTCTCCCTCTCTTCCTCTCTCCTCCCCCTTCTCCCTCCCCATTTTTTGCTAAAATCAGAAACAATCAGAATATGCATATATTCTGTATTTTATACATTTTACATTCTTACAATATTGAATTTCCTTGAAAATTTGATGATATCTGGATAGTTTTCACATTTGAGTACTACAGATTGTATTGCCTAATTTTATTTAGTGACTACTGTAATTCCTTTTACGTAGGTCTTAAGTAAATGGCATATCCTACTTTGAGTGCTGAATCATTGTAGCTGTCACATATTTTTGCTCTTGGGAAGATCCCCACTGGGTTTGTAGTAGAAATACAGAAAATGCATCTTTTTTTTCCCCCCACTTCCGTTTTTATCCATCCTCTCATCTTCTATAAAATAATTCTTTGCTGGCTAGATACCCTTTTTCTCTTCCTTAAGTTGATAGAAATTTAAACCTTTGGTGCCATACTCTCAAAACACCTTGCCTGGTGCCACTGTGTGGCCTGGGGAAAAGGGGTGGGGGTGTTACAGCTCTGCTAAATCGTCTTGGGAAAAGGGCAGTTCTGTGTAATCCACTCTAGCTTTGCTCTAGGACAGCCTTTGAGACCACAGAGTTGAGTGCATGCTCCCTAGTAGGAAACAGGTGTTAAGATTTATTCTAGGCACAGAGAATGGACAGAGAAATGATGAGAGTATATGATAAGTACAAGAAGGGGAGGGTACTTAAACCAGACTTTGCAGGAATGGGATTGCTTATTATTACTTGGCCTACCAGGAACTATTACTATCAGTTTTCTGCCAGGTATCACTTATTAGCTTTTATAGTATTGGAAATGGGTAGCTGCAGCCTTTTGTTTTGAAAATAAATTGATATTGCCCATATACTGGAATTTTAAACTATTTAAAATTTTATATTTTCATTACACAGACATTATTTATTACATACTTTTTTTCAAATAAGATGTGACATGGAATTAAATATTCACTTGTATAATTTTGTTACTAGTTTGCGTAGGTAAGATGATTTTTTATCTTTGTTCCCCCAATTTTCTAATATCTTGCTCTCTGATAGGAAGTCAATAGAATGAACAGCGCGTTTTGGCTTGCAGAATTGACTTTTCCTTCCTCTTGTCAACAAAAGTGATTCAAGTTTCAGGGAACAGTGCACTGGATTTAATACTGTATGATAAAGCCCCAAATAATCCTAATTGTTTTGCTGCCTCTAACAGCAGTTAGGAGAATGGGAAAAAGTTACAAAAAAGAAGTTATATCAGGTTTAATTAAAAAGGAATTTTCAGGATGTGGCCTGTTGATTCTAGGTTACTGTCTAACACTTTGTACAACAATATAGATTGGTCACTGATGGTCACAGTGACCCTCTGCTACTTCCCTGTCTTTCAAAGAAGGATTGAAACATGTGTCAGTATACTATATCTCTGAAAGGAGAAAGGTATACTAATTTAAAAAATAGTTTTCAATAACAAGTTGAAATCAGAGTAGTTTCCGTTCAGTTAAAGAGTGTATTACAATAAGACAGTTATCTTCCTTGGGGTTTGATTTCACTGTGGGTTTATTGTAATTGAATAATAAGTCTTGAGGAGATATTTTCAAAAGGCAAGAATCCCAGACATTTGAGAGATGTGTAATGGGATATAAGTTATCTGGTGTCCAGAGATGGTAGTGAAGTAACAAGAGGTTAGTGAATTTATACTTTCTCACTTTAAATGTAGAACGGAGGTTGAGATTTTAATCTAACCCTAAGCAATAGCATATTTACAGAGATAGAAGAATATGGTTGAAAGGTCCCATTCTAGCAATATGAAAAATGCATAAACATTTTTCATATTCCTGGAGATGGGGTTGTTTTTCATACTTGATTTTGTGTAGTCATATTTTTTTACTCTGTGATAGGTGGAAATATTTATCTTTGGTAGTCTTTTTCCTGAAAATCTCAAAGGCTTATAAATATGTACAGCAAACAGTATGGTTTATGGAAAGATTACTAATACTTGGATTCATGAGACCTTTCTGTTGTTCCATTTCTACTAATAATAACCTGGGTGATTTTTGAACAAATTCCTTAACCTTCTGGGTCTGTTTTCTCATCTGTGCAGTCCGAGTCGAGGTTTAGGCCAGATCAAAGATGCTTTGGTTTCCAGATGTGTTGCTTATACCACAGGCCTCTGTATCTGTTAATGTGTGTCCTATAAACATGCTTCACCCCCCCCCCCCCATCATTTGCAGTAGTTCAGAAAGAACCCAAGTATTTTGCCGAGAAATGGTGTTAGGACTTGTGAGGGAGAAAATAATAGTGGGGAGGCTGACATTCCACAGGAGACTGGCTTGGGTGGGAGGGGAGGGAGAACGTGGTCCTCGGTACTGGAAGAGAGTGCAGGGTCTAACTGCCCTGCTTCAGTTTACTTAGGGTTCAGATCAGATGAGAACACAAGGCCAGTGAGGAGAGGCTATTCTAGTGAGAAGCTGTTTGGAGAGAGCCTTTGGTAGGCTCAGGCTTAGGGAAAGAGGTGATCCTTTCAGGGATAAAAAGGGAGAATCCTATAAAAATTACCTTGGTTGGAAGGATGAGGAGTGCTTGTTCATATTTTAGGGCTTCTGATTTGAGTGAAAATGTGAGGAGATTTTAGTGGTAATTACTTTGGTTCCTGAACACCACTTGGAGAAATGGAGGGTGCACATACCCTTGCTTTCTCACATTTGGTAAAAGTAGCAAGGAAACAAGGGAGGTGAGGTTAGGAGAACTGTATCCTCCATCCTTTATAGTGAATTGTAGGACTGCAACAGTCACCTGTTAATCTCATTGTTACCCAGGATCGATGGACTGTTCTGGCTGGCTAGATAAAGTCACCTCCTTCCCCACCACCTCTTGTGCGTTCCTTTAGAACTTTGTGCTTGGTCAAGGTTTTGAGAGTGGCTGTACTTCCCTCCTGGAGCCTTTGTACAGTGCTCTCATTTCTTCTTTTAGAAGAAGTGCAGGGTGATTGAACTTCCTTTGCCTCTGTCCTAGTTTCTTTTCCAAAATGATATCATATTTTGTGTTTTCGATTTTTTAAAAAAATTGTCATTGTCATTAATAGTAGATAAAAAATAAGTCAAACTAAAATGGTTTAATATTTTATGAGGAACAAGTATTGCTGAGAATGATTAGTTAGGCATATAGAAATACTTAGTCTTCTGTGATTTTACGTAGTGTTTCAGTTTATTTTCTGGTCTCAATAGAACAAGTTGAAATCATCGCAGAAGGATAAAGTTCGTCAGTTTATGATCTTCACACAATCTAGTGAAAAAACAGCAGTAAGTTGTCTGTCTCAAAATGACTGGAAGTTAGATGTTGCAACAGACAATTTTTTCCAAAATCCTGAACTTTATATACGAGAGAGTGTAAAAGGATCATTGGACAGGAAGAAGTTAGAACAACTGTACAATAGATACAAAGGTGAGTGTTTGCTTGTGATTTTAAATATTTTGAACTAAGTTTTCCAAAGTGATTTGCTGCTTGTGAGAAATAATCTATACATAGAACATAAATTGGGTGGATATGTTTACAGAGCTCTGTAGATCTTAGAATTACTTCAAGAGATCTGGAGGGAAATTATTTTCCTCTTTTCACTAAAATTTCTTCTTAGCCTCCTCATTTTCTCCCCGATTATCCCCCCATTTTTTTCCTCCCCCATGATCCAGTTTGAGAATGGGGGCTGGGGTTTTTTTTCTCTCTTTTTCACAGAACTCAGCTGAACTGATTTTAAGAAAACCTGCATAATAATTTTAATTAATAACCTTTAAAGAATGTAAAGTAGTATATACTTTAAACATTTTAAACAATACATAATAGATGAATAAAGAAAAAGTCAATAGTTTCTCCATCTTTTCCTCATTTATTCTCTTGAGGGAACCAATATTTAATAGCCTGGTATGGATTCTTCCATGTCTTTTATGTTTATGTAGAAACATGTATACGGAGTATCAAAATTTTTCCAAAAATGGGATGTTTAATGCATATTCCCCAAAGTAAAAAAAGTCACATTTTTTATTCCTAGAGATGTTAGCAAATCACATGTGACAGAAGTGTCTGAGTGCCTTTCTCCTTGTATTTGTCATTAAAGCTTTTGCTCTCTGATAAGTAAATATTGATAGTTGGTTTTTTCTTTAGTTTGAATAACATATTTATATTGTTGAGATTAGGATCAATTGCAGAGCTTATGGTTTTTCTGATACTCTCAAGAAGTGATTGCTGTGGTAAAATAAACTATAAGAAAAAAAATTTCTGTATATAATACTGGTAATTTAGAATGCCTACTTAAAATATGGATATGTTCAGTAAAAATTCTTTATCTCTCTATAGGAATGTCTGATTTTCTGAATGTTTATGACTATGGCACATTTTTTACATGAATAAATGCGACTTGAAAATCAAGTGCCTGTCTGTATATATAATATATTCTCCTGTTTGTCTTAAGAATGCTATTTTGGGGGCAGAGTGGTTTTGAATATTATAGGGGGAAAATATCTGTTAGCATAATATTGCTTCGTGTCTTTGGTCTATTGAGATCACTTTTTTTTAATGGAACATAAAGCGTTACCGTTTTTAGTTTTAGAAATAGCATGATAAAGTATGGTGCTAATTTAATATTGCATTGTTATTTTTAAAGATCCTCAAGATGAAAATAAAATTGGAATAGATGGTATACAGCAGTTCTGTGATGACCTGGCCCTCGACCCAGCCAGCATTAATGTGTTGATCATTGCGTGGAAGTTCAGAGCAGCAACGCAGTGCGAGTTCTCCAAACAGGAGTTCATGGAGGGCATGACAGAACTAGGGTGAGTGTGTCATTACCAGAGGAACTTAGGCGCATTGCTATGAGAATGACTGTGGAACTGAATCATGTTATGAATTTTTAGGTGTGCATTTATAAACTTACCAGCCCATAAACGTTGATATAAATGGTTTAATATGCTAATTCCTTCCATGTTATCCAGTTTTCTGGGTTTGTCAAGTTATCTGTATAGTTAGTACAGCCTATTCCATTTGCATTGTACTTTATCATTTGTTTCTAATGAAGGTTCTTCAATATTAAAATAAATTACTGTGTTCTAATATTTAACATGAATAAGCAAAATGAGCAAGTTTTACATTATGTCCTAATGTGATGCTGCAAATTCTGAATTTATAAACAAACTCCTAGACTTTAAAATCTTGGAAGATATAATCACTTTTGGTTCAGTTTATACCTTGGCAGCTGATTAGGTAAATGTCTTCGGATAAATAGACTGACAAGTCATGGGTAGAGGTTTTACCTGTGGCCTCCAGTTGTCTGCAAGTAATGAGGCTGCAAAAGTATTCAGTCTGTGGATAGGTAACAGGCTGCCCTTTGTTTTTAGTGGGTAACTATTGAATAATAATAGCTAACATTTGTTGAACATTTATTTCAGGAACTATGCTAAGTAAGTACTTCACCTACCAGTTCATAATAACTTTGTGTGAGAAGTAGTGTTTATATTCCCATTTTAGAGATGAGGAAACTGAGGTAAAGAGAAACTAGAGGTAGGTAGTAGTATTGAGCCAGGATTTGAACCCAGGCATTCTGATCTTGAGCCTGAGGGACATTGCAACCAATCAGGGTCCACGCAAGACACAAAAACATATCAGTAATTTATTCAAATTAGGGTATATTTAAAAATTTGTTTTGTGTGAAAGGGGTAAAAGAAAGCTCTAAAGTGTAAAAGGTGGCAGTTGCAAGAAGCTGCCTTTACCCCTGGAGCTGAGGGAAGTGAGCAAAGAAGGAACCTAGAAACGTAAGAGATCCCTGCAAGCTGAGGTTCTACCTCAGAGCAGAGGGTGTGGCTCCCGCAGAGCACAGGGCCTGTGATGCCTGCCGCACCTGCCACTCTGATGAAGAAGAAACTCGGATGAAGAAGAAACTGGCTAGACACCACTGCTGCAGAGCCATGCAAGTTGCCACCGTTGCTGAACACTGCTGGGACCTTCCACCACACTGAAACCCTTGCTCTCTGCAGAAAATAAACTGGGATAAGAGAAGTTCCTTCTTCCTCTTTCAGCCTTTCATTGCCCTCTGTTGGTAGAACCTAACAGTGAGCCAGCGGGCAAGAAAAATGAAGTCTCATAATTTGTAGTCCACTACAAATAGTCACAATGTAGTGCAAAGGATGGGTAGGATTAAAGCTGGAGAAGCAATAAATTAATAATTGGCCTAGACACTGTGTTCTACAGCCAAAGTCAGCCCTGTCCTGAACTTGCTGGAATTGTCTATGCTGCGATAGTTTTCAATAGAACTCACTTTTTTTTCATTTGAAATTGAATTCATTTAAAATGTAATGAACTTCCAAATCAAAATTTTAATTTACAAACTAATGATCTGGGAGATGTTACAAAGAACACAGAAGGAAAATAAAAAGCAAAAATAATCAGAAGAAAAATGGAATGATTGGTTTTGTGGAATCTCAGAAATAGAATATTCCTATCTCTAGGCTACTATGTGGAAAGTAAGACTTCATCCTTGGGCCCTATTAACCCCTTGGAAGTTGAATGCTTTGCGAAATATAGAAAAAACTTAATATTGAAATGAGATAGCTTCAGTTGGAAATGGTAGGGGGCTCAGCTAATATTTATTATACTTTGTATATAACGAAGTAAGTTTTCAGGAGAAGTGCCTCCTCACCTAAGCAGGAAACTGTTCAGTTTGCAAGCTACACATGTGGTTTGTTACCATGTTAAGGAGTACCTACTACAGTCTAAACTGGTAATTGTTATGTTGGTTACTATACATTCTCATCTGTCCACTGCAGCCGCTTTCTACAACTCAGATGTGTTAATAGCCCAGTAAATTATGTAATTAAAAGTAATAGCCCAGTTCTTTTAAAAGTAGTAATTATTTCTAACATTTAATCACTCCAGACCTTTCTTCCTCCAGCCAACGCCATACTTGTTTATGTAATGTAAAAAGATGAAATACAGCTATCTGATTTTTAAAAAGAAGTACTATGAAATAAATATAAGCTGTCATAGGAATAAGTTAAGTCCTTAATTTATAGTCAAAAAGTTTATCTTTTATAAACTTAATTTTACAATGTAGATGTGACAGCATAGAAAAACTAAAGGCCCAGATACCCAAGATGGAACAAGAATTGAAAGAACCAGGACGATTTAAGGATTTTTACCAGTTTACTTTTAATTTTGCAAAGAATCCAGGACAAAAAGGATTAGGTAAGAATTTTTAAAAATTATATTTGGCATTTCAGATATATTCAAATACATTGACAGTGTCACTTTTGTTTTATAATAAAAAGTTATATGTTTTAAGCATAAAGTCATCATGAAAATACCAATTACTGAAAAACAGTGAGAAACAGTGAACTTCTGCTTATTCAAAAATACTGTGCACATTCAATAATAGGGTTGGTTACCCTGGATACCATATGTGAACCTCTGATTTTTTTTTTTAAGACCTACAACACAGAAAATACATAGATGTTAAAATTCCCCTGACATAACGTATATACTTTCGTTTGTTTGTTTATTTTCCAGAGGATATTGTAGGATTTTAGGATCATAAGTTATTTCACTATGGATCTGTAGAAATAGCATTGTAAGATTTCTGAGTCCGAGAATGCCAGATAAATCTACGCTTTCTGGTTGTGATTTATTTGGAAACTATAAAAAAGAATAAAAAAGATGATTATCATTCATAATCTTATCCAGAAATAACCACTGTTAACAGTTTAGGTCAGTCAATTTATACTGCATTCAATATCCATACATTTGCCTTGGGGATGACTAGGGGAATGTAACTAAAAGCTACGGTGTAATTTACAGTTTACCCAGAAAGACTGGACAGTAGGAGATAATACAAAATAATAAATGTGTGTGAGGGTTTTAGATAAAAGTAGAAATGAGTAAAAGGCAGGAATGGTTGGAAAATGCTTTCTGGGCAAGATGTGAACTGAAGGGTTTGCTTTGGCTGGGCAAGGGAAGATAAAAGGTGTTCCAATGAGCGGATAGTTATGAATAAAGGCGAGAAATAAGTTTGGCTTCTTAGCGGAAGCTAGAAAATGTTGAGTTGATTTTAGTGGGAATGCTTGTTTGGAGATTAAATTAGTGAGACACATTAAGGCTCAGTAACCACAGGCTTCTTTTAAAAACAGGACAGAAAAGTTTAAATTGGAATTTGTGGGCAGTGGGGACACACTGAAGATTTTGATGATAGCAGTAACTTCCATTTAATGTGAGTTTTCAGTATGCCTGGCAGTATGTTAAGTACTCTACATACACTGCTGCATTTAATTTTTAACAAACATGAGTTATATTCTTTCATAATCCATAATAATAGAGTGCTAGCTATTTTTAATCCTTATTTTGCAGATGAGGAAACTGAGGTACAAGAAGGTTAAATAACTTATCCAGTGATGGAAGTGAGTTTCTTTTTTATATTGAAGACATAGTAGTTGGAGGGGCTCATAGGGGCCCCTTGTACTACTAATCTTTCTTCATATTTTAGGTGAGAGGGGAAAAACATTGAGAAAGGATTATCTGAATAGGGTTTAGTCCAAGGAACTAACCAAAAACTAGTGAGGAGAAGGGATGGATGTCCAGCATTTGTTTTGGAGAAGTGGCCCAAAGAGTGACTAAATATGAAATTGATTAAAGATTTACAAAATATCTGTAAAGCAAAATTCTAAATAATGAAGCCTCCTTTCCAACTGCTTCTTCAGTTTAGGTTGGATTCTATTCTTAAAAGAAAATTCCTCATTTTGTAAGCAAAATAGGCTGGGATACTTAGGGTTGATTTCTCTATCTTCTGTCTGTGGCTACCAGTTAACTGGGCTACTTTTTCTAGTTTGCTTTTTCCTTCCCACAAACACAAGCCGATTAAAATCTTTGATTAACATGTATATCCTAAAATAATTATTTTTGTTGTTTTTAGAAATATAGCACAATATTTTTGTAAGAGTAAACAAAATGTTGTGAATATCAATATGATTTAAAGGGGCTGAACCTATTTCTTAGTTATATCTTTACACCTTACTAGAACACAAAATAAGTGATATTCTTCAGCTGATATGTAGTTTTGATTCCAAATCTTAGTTTTTATTATCTGGTGAAAATAAAGCAAAATTAAATTTTTATAGATGTTGCATGTATTAATATGGTAAATTGGAATTACAGGAAAAATTGAGAAAAAGATTATGCAGAAGAATTAGATGTAAAAATTATGTTATTTATCTAATAAGCATTGAGCTTAAGAAAAATGTAATATTGTTTATTGGGTCTAGTGTTTTTGTTTTGTAAGATGAAAAGAGTTCTGAAGATGAGTTGCACATTGTTCTGTGAATGTATCTAACACGCTTGGACTCTACACTTAAAAATGGTTAAGATAAGTTTAAAAAAATTTTTTAAAGATTTTTACTAAAATATAGCTAACATACAATATTATATTAGGTTCAGGTGTACACCATAGTTATTCAACATTTATATACCTAAAGAAGTGATCACCATAAGTCCAGCAACCATGTGATACTGTACGATGCTAGCACTATATTACTGACTATATTCCCTATGCTGTACATTACATCCCCATGACTTACTTGTTTTTTTGCCTGGAAATCTGAACCTTTTAAATCCCCTTCACCTTCCCCTCCTTTTTTAATTTTTCAATTACAGTTGACACTCAATATTATTATATATTAATTTCAGGTCTACAGCATATGGTTAGACATTTATATAATTTAAGAAGTGATCCCCCTGACTAGTACCCACCTGGCACTATACATAGTTATTACCATATCATTGACTATATGCCCTGTGCTTTACTTCCGCATGACTATTTTATAACTATCAGTTTGTACTTCTTAATCCCTTCTTCACCTTTTTCACACTGCCCACCAACCGACCTCCCATCTGTCACCCTGATTAAAACCTAGTACCCATTAAGATGATAAATTTTATGTGTATTTAACCACAACTTTAAAATTGTTTAAAAAAAACCCCCAAATCGTAGAATGTACAACACAGAGTGAGCCCTAATGCAAAATATGGACATTAGTTAATAATATGAGGTGTGATCAAACAATATGGTGAATGCTTAAATAAAAAAAATTTATTACAGTAAAAGACACATTGCCATTACTGCCCCTCAGAATACTCCTCCTCACTTCGAACTCATCCCATCGCTCTTGCCACTTTCTGAAGCAGTTCTGGAAATCCTCTTTGTGAATGTCTTTAGTTACACTGTCATGGTTGCTTCGATGTTTTGAATTATTTTGTCTTTGGGGAAGAGCCAGAAGTCTCACCATGCCAGATCCAGTGAATAAGGTGGATGAGGACACACCGTGATGTTTTTATTTGACAGAAATTGCCATATACCATAAGCAATGTGTGACATGGAGCTCGGTCATGATGGAGGATGATTTACAGCACACTTTAAAAGACACCATCTCTCAGTCTGTCAGGTATAGCCCATACCTGACAGACTGCACTGAACAAGTTAGAACTTGTCACACACTGTTACTAAGGTTCGATGCGCCCCTTCCTGTATTGAAGATTCCTGTCTTTCCATTGTATGGCACTGGGCAGTAGCATTCACCATATTTTGTGATCACTATGGAAAGCCTCCATGTCACACATCGGTTTTAGTATGGCGATTTCTGTCAAAACATTAAGGTCTGTCCCTATCCACCTTATTCACTGGATCTGGCACCAGGCGACTTCTGGCTCTTTCCCAAAGTCAGAATGATTCAGGACATCGAGGCAGCCGTGACAGCGCAACTAAAGACACTCACGAAAGAGGACTTCCAGAACTGCTTCAGAAAGTGGCAAGAATGATGGGATAAG